TTCTTGTGAGTGTTTTCCCCGGTACACAAACACAATACACACAAACGCGTCACAGATTATTTTGCAGTATTTGGCTGCCGAACGAAATCATGTACGCAGCTCGCGACGTAACTAGGAGTCTAGTGGACGGTATCAGTACTACAAGTAAATTCATTACGTTGTTTATAAATTAATCTGAGGGCCGCAAAAAGAGGAGGTGGGGGCCGCATGTAGCAGCGCCTGAACCAGCCTCAGTCATTGGTTAATACCCATTTAACACTGTCATTAAGTATTAATAACAGGCATGCACATTTATGAATTTGTGCAACAGCTTCTGCACGCGCCTGACCTCAAGAAGGTATTCCTAATTCAGATTTTTCCAACAACAAACTCCATGAGAACAGTTTGCAAAAGGAGGGCGTTGTTTGTTTACCTTCTGGTTCCCTGAAGGCCTCTCTTTACTAGAAGAAGGTTATTTCTGTTTCGGTTTGTTTGTTTGTTTGTTTGTCAGCAGGTTGACGGGAAACAAGCTAACAGATGTTGTTGAACTGTGAGAGCGTGAAAGAAAGAGCACATAACCATTTGCATGAGGATAAACCAACATTATTTATCATAAAATAAATAATATTCTTCCTTTAACAACTATTTATCTGTATTTAATGTGTGTTTGTCGGAAAAATTAACTCAATTCAGTGAGTTTTTGGGTGTTTCATTGAGTCCATGTTGACTCAGTTTGACACTCATTTTCAGAATCAGAATTAAAATACTTAAAGGGGACCTATCATGCAAAATGCACTTTTGTACGTCTTGTATACATGAATATGTGTCCCCGGTGTTCCAGGGAACTCACCAAGTGTCAGAAAACACAACCCTCTCTATTTTCCTCCATACCCAAATCTCTAAAAAAGGGGCTGCAACAGATCTGATCAAAACTGATCCAGATTTGAACACTGTCCTGACGTCAGGACGGTGGCGCTACGGCTATTGGGCCAACTCCACCAATCAGGAGGAGACAGCCACGGCCATTGCCGTTCGAAATCGCTGGAGACGCTGTAGTACATATGCCAGGCCTGTAGGTGGTGCTGTTCTCACTGAATCTGCCCTTGCAAAAACAGAGCTAACATTCAAATTGAGTGAAATGAGGCATGGCTAAAATGCATGATCTGTTTGGTATTTTGAAAAAAAAAAAGTATAAATATGCCTTATATAGGTATGGTCCTACACTATATTATTATAATATAGCATGATAGGTCCACTTTAATTTATCTAAAAGGGGTAATTGGGTTTTGTGACAGTTGCTTTATTTAGAATAAAAACAATTAATTAAAGTGGACCTATTATGCTATATTGGAAACATATATTGTAGGGCCATACCTATACAAAACATGTCTGTGAAGTGTTTTGCTTAAAATACCAAACAGATCCCCCGTTGTAGCCATCCCTCATTCTGCTCAAACCCCTCTTTTGAAACCCTGTTAGAGAAACGCAGATTTTGGGTCCTTAGCTTGAAAAAAAAAAAAGAGGAGGCGGAGCTAATGCCTGATCAGAATTCTACCGGAGATAAAGTTAAATTCTGCTGTGATAAAACGCCATCCTGTTCTAAACCACATCAAGGATTATCTCTGAAACAGTATGGAGCTCAAA